CCCCAAAACCCCAAAACCCCAAAACCCCAAAACCCCTTTTAATATTTTATCTATTGCAAAATTATTATATAATTTTATTTATGAGTCAAGAGGAGCACTTGAAGTCTATATTGTCAGGGCCACTTAGTCCAAAACCTCCAGGAGCTAGTAGGAATGCCTTTAAGCCTATGTATCATCATCTTCCCACATATAATAAGCAAGGGAATGAAATTGAAGTGTATCACAAGCTTAATGCAAAGAACATCACTGCTGAAAAGGACAACATACGTATTCCTTCAAAATGGAAATCCAATAAAGATATTATCCGGACTCAGAGTAATCTTGCAAGAGTAAGAAAGCAAGACTGGATCCCTGACCCTTCATTCGATCTAAATGGAGATGGAACTGTATCTGCTCATGAATATGCAATTGCCAAATTATTCGACTTCGACTTTGACAACAAACTTAACGCTGAAGAGAAAGCATACTGCCTGAAGAGGCTAAAGGAAGGCTTTGAAGATGGATTCTACTGGGATGCTGATCAAGGAACTCAGGATATCAAACAATCTGATCTTAAAACCATCCTTCCTGACTCTTTACTCAAAAACAATGATGGTTCTATAGATGAGAATATCAAGAGTAAAACAATCCCCTTCCTCAAACTTCAAAGATCACTACAAAAATAAAAAGGAAAATACTGAAATTTTTGAAAGATTCCTTGAAAAAGAGGAGGAAAAGAAGAAGATTGTTGAAGAAATGTGAGATATCAAGCCAGTCTTTGCCAAAGGCAAAAAGATCACTTATACTGAGATGATGGAGAATAGGAAGAACCAGCATAGAACTAAGGCTGGTCTAGCAGATAAGCCTAATGATGAAAAGATTTATAGGAAAGACCCTTCGATGAAATATATAAAATCCCCACATGTTAAATCTCTAACTGAGCTCAAAGCAAAGCGGGTTACTGACAAATGAGTTGACTATAACTTCAAATTTGCCAAAAAGAAAGATAATGATGAAATGTGGACTTTTAGTGTTCCTGGAAAACAGTCTGAAGGAGATTTATCAAAATTGAAGAGAAGAATGGCTTCACCTGAGCCTATACCTAAAACATTCAAGCTACAGACAGTCAAGGATAATATCTCTAACAAGATAAGTGATATGGTAGTGTTTCCTAATTACAAAGACTCAAAGGACTTCAGACCATGCAAGGAAAAACCTGATATTAAGTACAAGTGGTCAACTATCGAGGACAGATTTAGGTGAGGATTTAAGAATAGAATGTATGATGAGTATAAGAAATCCCTTCCCTTATCCACAGATTACATCCCGATGTACTCTTCCTTCTCTAAGGACAAGATCATGAACATGCCTGATCTCCCTGGCAGTAAAATGATTCCAGTGGCAGATACTAGCGGTGAGGCTGATCCTATCCTGACCAAGAAATCTATGGTAATGGACACTTTGTACGGTGGCTCCCCAATGAGACTTTTGTCCAAAACCTCTTTTTCAACAGCAGACTTACACGCCTCAATTAAAAGTCCACGTGATTCAAAAATTTCTGCTGAAAGAGACAACAGTAGCTTATCTCTACTTAAGAAGTGAGCTTTGCAGGGAATCAGAGCATCAAGCTTTAAGAAAAATAATTAATTTGAGAATTCAACTGTGGATAATCCAAAAGGGGTTTTGGGGTTTTGGGGTTTTGGGGTTTTGGGG